GTATAGAAAAAAATAGTAATCATCGCGTTACGAAGAGCAACGTGGTCGGAAGAGCGCAAGCCATATTGAAGGAACAGGGGAAACCAGAAACCAGAGTATTTTGAACGTAAGCAGCCTGCACGACGTGGGAATACTACAAAAATGAATCCGGGAGCTCCGAATTATCCTATGGCCTCACTTTACGTGGGAGACCTGCATGGTGATATTACCGAGGCAATGCTTTTCGAGAAGTTTTCGTCGGCTGGGCCTGTACTCTCGATACGCGTCTGTCGTGATATGATTACCCGACGCTCCCTCGGTTATGCTTATGTCAACTTTCAGCAACCGGCTGACGGTAAGTATATTGTTAATTTATTTCAATATTTCTATGACCTAGATTTAAAACATTCTTCCTAAACCTTATCCTTTAGTTATATCATTTGTCTGTGCGTGACACGTGTTTCACATCATACGATGCCACCATATTGAATTTACATGGAACAAAGTCGAATGTGTAGTGGTACTAGTTGGTTGACTGACTCATACTTTTCATTTTTTTTTTGTCATTTCCTTTTGCATTTTCTGAGCAACGACCAGCTGTTCTATACAATGACAATGTTAAAAATAAATTGCGTCGTATAATTGCTAATATTTTTTTAATTCTTTGGAAATGACATTACTTACTTTGTGTATTGCCTTTATTAAACGCACTTATTGTGTGTTACACACGATGCAGCAATCCCATTTAAAACAAGAAAAATTCAATTCTATTGCGAATTTTTCTGAATTTTTACTCTTATATTTTAAGAATAATAAAACTTGATTATAATGTTTAAGAGTACCGTGAATTTTAAATTATTTGTTATGATGAATATGTTTAAATTAATTGCTACCTAAGTATGGTTAAAATTAATAGTAAAAATAAAATATCTTGTATTTTTTGTGGAAGAAACAATTTTATGCAGGTAAAATTTAATTGAAAGTTTTTAATGAGAAACCTCTGCTGTGTAATTGTGGCTATTAATTTAAGTGATATAAGTCAAGTATAATCTGAACTTTTTAATTGATTTCAGCCGAACGTGCATTGGATACTATGAATTTTGATATGATAAAGGGGCGGCCTATTCGTATTATGTGGTCTCAACGCGATCCTTCCCTTCGAAAATCTGGCGTTGGAAATGTATTTATCAAAAATTTAGATAAAAACATAGACAATAAAGCAATGTACGACACGTTCTCTGCTTTTGGTAACATACTTAGTTGCAAAGTGGCTCAAGATGAGTCAGGTGTTTCAAAAGGTTATGGTTTTGTTCATTTTGAGACTGAAGAGGCAGCAAACAAATCCATCGATAAAGTCAATGGCATGTTGTTAAATGGAAAGAAGGTAAATTTTTTTACTTCTATATGTATTATAGACAACTGATTGTGAGCAATATAATCAAAAGGAATGATTTATTAGAGTTTTCACAAGTTGTTGAGAATTCTAATATTCTTGCAGAAGTATTTGCTTCTGTGAGGTTTTTCGTAATACTTGCCTTCATTTTAAATTATATACTACGTATTTATATAGCCTGAAAAGATTATTATTAAGTATATGTAAACATCTTAATCTTATATTACTAATTAATTTATGAAGCAGGTTTGATTTATCATTTTTCTATGTTATATTTCAAGAATGCTCTTTTAAATGTTTTCAAGTATCGCATTTGATATTTATTATTACGGATTTGTATATCTGTTAGTTGCTTATAGTGTTGGTAAATGAAGAATCTATATATTCAGAAGTCCTATTTGATAATCTTTTATTGACTTCATATCAGTGTGGTGAGAAAGAGAGAGAGACTGTACGTGTGCCCATGTAAGATTTACCAGAGCAATGTTTTATAGTACTCTGTAATTGCTATTTACTAGCAGCACTACATTTTGCACTCGGAGGTTATGTTTGGCACACGTGTACGACCTCGTGATCGTAGACACGTTTGAACATTACGACAATAGGACAGCGACTATTATTTACTATTATTAGTACTACTGTTTAGTGATATTATCATAAAAGAGGAGTAACTGTAAAAATTAAATAGTACTTATAATTTTCAGGTGTATGTTGGTAAGTTCATACCGCGCAAAGAACGCGAAAAGGAATTGGGAGAAAAAGCTAAGCTTTTTACCAACGTTTACGTAAAAAATTTTGGAGAAGATATGACAGATGACAAACTTAAAGAAATGTTTGAAAAATATGGGACCATCACCAGTCATAAAGTAATGATTAAAGATGATGGAAAATCTCGAGGTTTTGGTTTTGTAGCTTTCGAAGATCCTGACGCTGCTGAACGAGCAGTAGTTGAACTAAATGGGAAGGAAGTTTGCGAAGGAAAGTGCATGTATGTTGGACGGGCGCAAAAGAAAGCGGAGCGTCAACAAGAACTAAAAAGAAAGTTCGAGCAATTGAAGATAGAGCGTTTGACACGTTATCAAGGTGTAAATCTTTACGTAAAGAACTTGGATGATAGTATTGATGACGATCGATTGCGCAAAGAATTTGCACCATTTGGAACAATCACTTCCGCTAAAGTAATGTTAGAGGAAGGACGTAGCAAAGGTTTCGGATTCGTCTGCTTCTCTGCTCCTGAAGAAGCCACAAAAGCTGTAACAGAAATGAATGGGCGTATAATAGTTACTAAACCTTTGTATGTTGCTCTGGCTCAGCGTAAAGAAGATCGTAAAGCACACCTTGCTTCTCAATATATGCAACGTTTGGCTAACATGCGTATGCAACAAATGGGTCAAATCTTCCAGCCTGGTGGCGCTGGAAATTACTTTGTTCCCACTATTCCTCAGCCCCAAAGATTTTACGGTCCACAAATGGCACAGATTCGTGCAACACCACGCTGGCCGGCACAACCAAACCAAGTACGACCCAATGCACAAACTGGAAGTTCCGGTTTTGCTACGATGCAAGGTCCGTTTAGAACTGCACCACGTGCTCCTACAGCCCAAGCTAGTACTATGCGTAATACCTTGTCTGCTAGACCTATTACAGGTAATAAAAGTTAATTAATAATGGATATGTAATCATTCTACCGTTTGAAAGACGTAGTTAGAATTTCTCCTAATTATTTATTCTTGTAGGTCAACAAACGGTGGTCGGTGCAAATATGCAGAGTCGTTCCATGGCTGGTCCAGCAGTGGGAGTTTCAGCTCCAAACCGTCCGTCGAATTATAAATACACTTCGAACATGCGTAATCCACCACAAGCAATGGCTATCCCTGCTCCTACTCCTGTTCAGCAAGCCGTTCATATTCAAGGCCAAGAACCTTTGACAGCCACAATGTTGGCAGCTGCTCCACCACAAGAGCAAAAACAAATGTTGGGAGAGCGTCTCTTCCCGTTGATTCAATGCATGTATCCGCAACTTACTGGTAAGATTACTGGAATGTTGTTGGAAATTGACAACTCAGAGCTCCTGCACATGTTGGAGCATAATGAGTCGCTGAAAGCCAAGGTTGAGGAGGCCGTAGCTGTATTGCAGGCTCATCAGGCCAAACAGGCTGTGGCTTCTAAAAAAGAGTAAACATCTTATATTAGGCTATTATTTTATTCTTCTTTAATTATTCGTAACAATGTTAATTTTTTTCTTCCTCATTCTGCAATTATCCTTGGTTTAAAAAGAGATTACTTCTAAAGCTTTATAACAACAATTGTTATTCAGAATTAATAACTGATCGTGAAAGGGTTTTTCATCAAGTTTTATGATAATAAATTTTCCTTTAAAAGTATCAAATGAGTTTATTCTTGCCCTTGTCTCCTTATTGATACTCGAATTCTTATTTTCTAAGATGTAAATTTAGTGTTCGTGTATGTATAGATACATAATTTTCTCTTAAGTTCAATGGTACAATGTAGTATGTGGATATACCTGTTATGTGAAATTCTATGTAAACTTGTGCAAACAGAGCAAGGTTACATTTACCATTAATACCTAATACGGGGAATAGCGAAGAGTTATTAGCGAATATGATCAGGAATGAAATTTAAAATAGACTATATGTTTTGCTATTTTTTGTAGCATAGAAATTCATGAAAGTTTTCAAGTGTTTTAACATTTTTACTCGTGCACTACTTTTATCATTAAATGATAAATATCATCATTCAGTTTTTTTTGGGAATTTACCATTGTTACTTTCACATAATATATACGAAAGGAATTATAAATAACATTGCAGTGATCAAATGAATTTTTATTTTTATTTTAATCATGATTTATTTTCAGTTTTATAAATAACTGCTTTATTGTAACCACATAGTAGTACAAAATTGCCTTGTGAATGCCATCGAGCGTCTAGTGTAATTATGTTTCGTGGAGTTGGCAAACATACCGCCTTTTGAGGCGTCCATTCAAACACATGAGCACACTCACAAAATATTAAAAGATGAGCGCGCGTAGGATTCCATTTTATAGCTGAAAGTAAATTGAAATATAATATATTTTTGCATTGTAAGAAAAGAGTAAAATTTGTATAATCCTTAAAAGGGTACTCACCTACAATATTATTTTCGAGAAGTAAATAATCGAGATAATCGTCAATAATATTCCATATCCATAGTGCTGTAGGATAAAGTTGATGTTTTATGGCCAAGTATTGTCCACAAAAACTGAACTCCAAAATATCGAATTTAGCAATAGAAAATCTGTTGAAATCTTCTTTTCTACCAATCTTTATGTTTATTGGCCGTTCAGATTTTTCTTCTACTACAAATATTTGCTCTTTTGATTATAATATTATGTACATTTTTAACTCCCAAAATATTACTTACAAACATATTTATTATAGAAACTCGTATTCTTGCTTGATTGCTTTGTTTGAATTATACGTTCCTCGTATACTTTATGTAAATAATTCTCTTTGATAATTGGATCAAGATACAACTGTAAAAGTGGCTTCCATGTTACGTGATTTAATAAAACGATCTATAGAAAAATGAATGTAAGAAAATAATCTGTCTACCTCAATAGAAAATTGGAACAATAAAATAATGAAAACATATAAGATAATACCATTTCATTAAATCCAGTTACAGCTAATAATTGCCCACTAGGCATCCATTTTATACTTTCAATTCCTTTTAATTTCTTACAATACTTATACTCAAATTGGGGTACATCGACAGTTTGAGTAGGACAGAATACACCTATATCGCTTTCCAATAGACTCGAATAAATAATTAATTTTGGTTCATTACTAAAGGAACACCATATACATAATAATTCACTATTTGGTGACCAACATATTCCATCAATACTATTTAAACGCCCACATATTAATTTCTAAAAAAATTGTGAATAAGAATAAAAACAGAATTATATTAAAGTACAAACACGCAATTTATTTTACAAGCTTTGTACATCGTCAAATTTCAAATGTTACATATTAATGTCCACAATGTCTAGTAACTTTAGCAGTTGAAGGGTACCATTTTTAAATTCGAAGCTAACGCGTGTATCATGTATTTACTACAGTCTTTTGAGGTTATATTCATAATTTGACAATTAGTTAAATGTATTACTAATTTATAATAAATATGACATCCTATACATCATGCGCTTGTAATCGGGTTCCACATTCAGCAGACTGGGGAAGAAATGGACTTATTTGTTTCGCTTCGTGTCATGCCATTGTAATTTACGATCCATTCATCTCAAAAATAGGAAAAGTAACACACACTCTTCATCAACATAAAGGACGTATTAATACTGCACGGTGGATTAAAAACAAAAGTACAGAGACGGAATGGGAACTACTGTCAAGTTCAGTAGATGGAACTGCAATTATTTGGAGCAAAGTAAATGAATACTTCCAATGTACTTATATCATTGAAGTTGGTGACATACTCACATTTAGTAATTCTTTATACCTTTATAATCATGATTCTCAAAATAACAAAACATTTCCTAAATTGCTCATATGTACTGGTTCAGTCAAAGAAGATTTAAAATTATGGTTGAGAGATACCTCTAACAATATAAAATGTCTTCAAACAGTTACATTTGGAAAGAAATTACCAATAGAAGCTTGCTTTTCTTATTTACCAAGTACAAATTTACCACTTTTGGCTGTTGCAACAGAAATCTCAACAATTGAATTATACGTGACAAATTCTCACATTATAGAGGAATCAAATTTTCTAAAAGTGCAAGTCTTAGTTGGACACGAAGATTGGATACGTTGCATGGATTTTAATCATGTTATAGACAATAGCATTTTGCTAGCCAGTGGTTCTCAAGATGCTATGATACGATTATGGAAAATTTCTACTAATATCATGGAATCCTCAAATGATAACTTACGTCAGAAGGAACAACTATTTATAGCTAATAATATTAAATATAATATTACTTTGGAGTCTGTCCTTTATGGACATGAAGGCTGGATTTATGGTGTACAGTGGTATCCACAACATGTGAATGATAAAAATAGAATTTTAAGATTGTTATCTTGCTCATTAGATAAGTCTATGATTATCTGGGAACCAGATGAAATAAGTGGTATATGGTCTGAGAAAGTAAGAGTGGGTGAAGTTGGTGGTAATTCGTTAGGTTTTTATGGCTGTAAATTTAGTAGCAATGGATTGAATATATTAGCACATGGGTATCAAGGAACGTTTCATATTTGGGAATATTCGGATAAAATAAAAAATTGGATTCCAAAACCCATACCAAGTGGTCATTTTGCTGAAGTAGTTGATCTTTGCTGGGATCCAAAAGGAAGGTTTGTATATAAAATTATAATAATTATTTGCAAAGAAAATTTCCACACTTGTTTTTATGTTGTAGGTTTCTTATTACAGCAAGTGTAGATCAAACAACAAGAATTCATGCGCCATGGAAAAATAAAGGAACAGAATTCTGGCATGAAATTGGACGGCCTCAAATTCATGGATACGATATGTCTTGTTTAGTTATGTTAACTCCTTACATGTTTGCTTCAGGAGCAGAAGAAAAAGTTATACGAATTTTCATAGCTCCAACAACATTTAAGAATTCTTTAATGAAAATTACCAATGTGGATGATTTCAAAAACATGGTAGCTGATAGTGCATCAGTACCAGCTCTTGGATTAACAAATAAAGCAACATTTGCTGATAACATTAACAGGGAAGTAATGGAAATAAATAATCTTAAAGATAAGAATTATATTCCTCCAACGGAAGAAGAGTTAATGCAACATACACTATGGCCAGAATTACAAAAACTTTATGGCCACGGATATGAAATATTTTCCATAGCTGCTAGACATGATGGAAAAGTATTGGCAACTGCATGTAAATCAACTTCACCAGAACATTCTGCGATACTCTTATGGAATACAAATTCATGGACACAAATTCAAAAACTTGTCTCTCACCAATTAACTGTTACCCAAATGGAATTTTCACCTAATGATAGATATTTAGTATCTGTATCTAGAGATAGAAGATGGTCATTATTTGAATATAATGATAATACATATAATTTGATTGCAGCTAGTTCAAAAAAAGATAGTCTTCACACTCGTATAATATGGTGTTGTTCATGGACACATGATTCATCCTTTTTTGCAACTGGTTCCAGAGATGGAAAGATTGGAATTTGGAGTCCAACAATTACAAATAATAAAATTGTTCCAGTTACAAGTTTAGATATGAAAGATTCTGTTACAGCACTTTCATTTTCTGTTCGAAGTATTGCTGAATATTCTTACATTTTAGCAATAGGATGTGAAACAGGTTGCATAGAAATTCAGAAATTGAAAGTTTTGGACAATAACATTGCATGGGAGAAATATATTGTATATAATACTTCTGACGCGCATCATCTAACTGTGAAAAGACTTAAATTTCGACCACAGGAAGAAGATTCTAACACATTACAGCTGGCAAGCTGTGGATCTGATCACGCTGTTAAAATATATGATATAGATGTCAAGAAATTGAATGACTTGTAAAATATTTATATTTTTGTATAATAAAATACAAAAATAATTTGTAATTACTCACTTTGTGTAATTTCCATGTGTTTGTTTTATAAATTTCTATAGTATCTTCACCTTCATTTGAAACTATTATTGCCAACTTTTTACCATTTGGAGTAAAATGTAAATTATTCAAAGAAGATTTCACATTTTGTATATGATTTACATTCCGATTCTCCAAAGACCAAATAGATATTTGAATCTGTTAATTTCAATTATTTTAAAATATTGAAAGATACATTTACTTGGTACCATTGAAATTTAATTACTTACGTTAAAATTTGAGAATGTTAAAATATGCTTACTATCAGGTGACCAAGTAACACTTTCTAAACCTGCACTTCCTTCAATAAGTTTATATTTCCATTCAGGATAATGAATGGAATACACTTGAATAATAGTCTTTTTTATATTTGCACATAAAACGTATTCACTATTTTTAGACCACTCTAAATACTGTGATAAAATGAAAAGCAATTATGTTGTTTGAAAGTATTTTATTTGTTGATATAAATAACATTTTCAGCGATACTGTACATTATAATATTAGATGATAGTAAAAACGAAATAATGGTTGATTGATTTAGAATCACACACTAACCTCGATTATGTCTGTAAACACAAATGAGCACACTGATTCGAACGTTTGGCAACTTTTTATAATTAAATTTGTTTGAAACGCTAATGCAAAAAATCTGCCATCTGTAGAAAATTCACATAGTTGATTATTAATGCGGAATAAGTCTTTTTCTACTTCTAACGACATCGCGCTTCACTTGAAACATAACGTATAATATTAAATAATTCAATTCTGCCAATCTAACTGTGTGGACACGTTATTACTCTTAGAAGAATACATGTAGACCATATATCGATGTAAATATATAGATTGATAAAAGAATGTTTAATTACAAAAATTTCATGTTATTTAGGGTTTAAAATTTATAATATATGTCTACAATTCAAAGTGTTGATTTGAATTGAATTATTATTTTATTGGTAGTAATGAGTTTAAAAATTTAACGGTTCGTGCCTGTTTGCGTCGCATTTGATTACAAATGTTATTGATAATACGAGTGTTTTAATGTGAACAAAGTTTTTAATTTTTTACAAGGTGTTCAACAAAGAATCGTTGAAAATTGATAAGTGAATCAAGATGTCGAAGGAGTTTGTTATCCCTGTAAACAAAGATGAACTTTTGCAATCTGCCCGGCCTGGACAATTTTTTGTGGAAAAAGTTATTCCAATTCGAATGATTCCACAAGCTTTAAATGGTATTTTATGAATGCTACTTTTTATTGTGTACAATATATTTTTTCTTTCATTAGTACAACCAGTAAATTATGTAAAGTATAAGGATTAAGAAAAATGATAATATTTAATGATATGGGATATAATTTTTTTTTGCGTATAATACAATCATGTAACTTAAATAAATTTTTTCGATCATAGTATTCAGAATTTATTTATAATATCTTTAATAAGTAATGTAATATTTGGTTTCTTTATACTTATAAATATGAATTAATACCTATGCATCTATTTTATATAGATTTATTTGTATACAATTGCATGATTCAAATCTATTTTCTGCAGGTATATATTTTAAAGCATTTAATAATAATCTTGAAACATTATATACTCAATGTAATATTAACTCTTTTACAGAAGCAAGATCAGCACTTCAAAAAGATGGAACTGACTTTTTGATAGAACACTTCGATACATTTTTTTCTATAATGGTTCATGGCAATAAAGTTGAGTTACCAGTTATAATAAGAGGTTTTAACAGACTTCATAAAGGTAGAAACATTATGTTTCATTGGATTAATAAAAATATACACAAATTTATATTAATTTCAAGTATTATTTTATAAAGCTATGGAAATGTTGGTTCATGATATGGAAAGCATGTTTGAGAAAGGCACCGAATTACAAGAAGAAGACAGAGTACGATTTTTAAACACTACTAAAATGTTAATATACCTATTTTCTTGGTTCATCTGTTATATAGATGATGAAATTTCTAAAGATGCGAGTGAAAAATTATTGGACAAGGTATGTGTTCATTATTTTTTTAATCTAATGTTATAATATATGGTTTGTTTTTATTGCAAAGACAAAGTATTTTTATTTTAATATGATTTATTTAGAGAAAGAAAGCCACTAAGACTGATATGGAAGAGGAATGGGAAAGTAATAGGGAAAAAGCATTAGAATATGTTTATAGATTACTGCAGTTACCATTGCAGAGACTTTGGCAACCTCCCATTGTTGAAGACTCATTTATCACGTAAGTATACAGATCGTGTTTAATGTTACAATTATCATGTAAAAAAAAATGTTAGTAGGTATTAGTTTTTGTGTAATTTTTGTATTACAGATTACTCACTAAAGTGTGTTACAAGATTTTGGAACAGTGTAAAGATTTGAAACAAAAGCATATAAGACAAACAATTTTCGAGGTAAGATTCTATTAGTTTTTGCATTTAAATATTGATATGAATTTGGTTTTGAGTATGTTATGTTTTAATTATTGCAATACGACCTGGCATTCTGTTAAACATATTCGTTATTTTTAATATTTAAATAAACATATTCTGTTCATTTTTTATATTCCTCGATTAAATAATTTATATTATCAAAATTATTATTTATTTTTAAAACAGATTTTAGGAGTCTCGATTAAGAGGTACAACCATGGTATAAGCTGTGTAGTTAGAATTATCCAGGTATGTATTTAAACTAAATTTGAAATTTTGCTTAAAGAAAGAATTTAATAAATTATTATTTTAGCTAATTAAATTTCATGATACATTAGCATCACATATAGCAAGTGGTGTTGTTCACATGATTACTGAATGTGGTTGTAGTGGTTTAATAAGAGAGATAATGAAGGAAATTGATCAGAGCGAACCATCTGAATCTGACAGTCGTAATATATCAATATTTCTTGAAGCTATTGCTATTACTGAACCAAATATTGTAATTCCTATTCTTGACGAATTAATGGATTATTTGGCTAGTGAAGTAAGTGATTTTGCATTAATTTAATTGTATCTTTATATTTATGTTTATTTCATGTCCATTAATACTTTTCATAGCATTACAGTATGAGAAATTGTACAATTAGCGTTTTGGGAGCAGTTGTACAAAAAGCATTAACTGGAGACGATCTTACACAAGAACAAAAAAATTTACGTGACGAGTGTCTTAATAATTTGGAAGACCATATTCTGGATAATAATGCTTACGTAAGATCAAAAGTCTTACAAGTTTGGCAACGATTATGTTGTGAACAAGCCATTCCTGTAGCAAGGCAAGGAAAACTTTTAGCTGCCACAGCATTACGTTTAGAAGATAAAAGCGCAACTGTACGAAAACAAGCATTACAACTGTTACGCGCGTTACTTCAAGCCAATCCTTTTGCTGCTAAGGTATACAAATATAACGTATTTGTTTTCTTAATTACTTCTCATTAATTGAATAAAGTTACTAAATAAATGAAATATTTGTAGTTAAACAAAGAAGAAATTTTTCAATCACTAGAAAAGGAAGAAATAAAATTAAGAAAAATGCAAACTGAAAGTGTTAGTAAAAGTGCTCGCGGCGATAGCCAAAGATTAGAATTCTGGAATAGTTTACTTCCTCGGATAAGAAAAGCATTGAAAGAAGTTATTAATGGGAAAATGAAAAAGAATAACAAACGAAGTAAATATGACGAGTACGTTTATTTCAATGTAATTAAATATATATTACAATACCGTATTATAAATTTAGGTCATACAGATGATGAAGATGAGGACGAGAATGAAGACGAAAGAAATATTAATCCTGATACAGCATTCGAACACATCAGGCAACTTATGTTGAAAGAAAAAATAACTGAAGCAGTGAAGTTTTTATGGAAAACTTGCATCAAGTTAAAACAAAATCCTGAATTGACAAATTTAACTTCTGAAGCAAAAGAAGAATTTTTATTTTTACTTTTATTGAAAACGTTTATGGAATCGGAAAATACTTCGAACAATCCAAAAGAAACTATAGATGAATTGCAATCAATAGCTAAAGATAAAGAAAAAGAAGAAATAGAAGTAACAAAACGACTTGTACATTATTTGACAGTATGTATGTTAAGCTTTTTAATTAACCCTTTCGCCACGACGGGCAACTATAATCGCTCTTCACAAAATCCCATTGACATACGACGAGCAATTATAGTCACTCATTCTTTTGCACACTTCGTATCTCTCTCTAAAATAGTTTCGACATTTTGTTGTGTTTCGATATTTCTTTAAAAAACACTATAAAGCACCTTTGGTTACAGTCAAGCATGAATCCGGCGATTGACGACTGTCTTAGCGCAGTGTGCATTTTTGGTGCGGCATTGTCTCGTTCATCGGGAGTGTCACGGCAGACAAGCACTCGTAGCGAAAGGGTTAAAAAAATATTCTTGTAGAAAAATATCTCCTACATGCAAATCTTTATTTTAGAACTGCTTGGAATTTGCGACTGAACTAGAAACTGCTATTCCTATGGCGGAAAAATTACTTTTTTCTACAACAGCGACTGATGCCGTTGAAGCATGTAGTCTGCTTGGAACCGCGTATCAATTTGGAATCACTGGAGCTGCAAGTGCTATACGCGATGCTCTGTTCCAAACATTTCACCGTGATCAGTCTGTACGTAATAATTTAGCTGATGTGTATAAACAGATATATTTGAAGAAAAATAACGATAAAAAGTCAACTCGTCAAAAAGCTCTCACATGTGTTAAAGCTTTGATCGAATTACTGAAATCGCTTCAACCAGGTCAGAGTCAAGCTTTAAGTCAACTTATTATAGCATGGTATAACAATCATGAAGTGGGTGATGAAGAATTACAGGTAATAAGAGGAATATACATTTAAATGTATACACGGTTATACTTCATTATAAATATTGATAATTTAACAGGTCCTGTGGGAAATTTTTTCGATGAAAATATCGGACGTAGATCCATTGGACAGTAGATCAGCTTTAATGCTAATAACAATGATAGCACAAGTTCAGAGTGGTATTATAGCTGACAATTTAGAAGTATTGATAAAAGTTGGTCTGGGATCACGAGCAAAAACAGATCTTCTTTTAGCCAGAGATACATGCAGAGCACTGTTAATGATAAAAAATAACAATAATAACATTGAGAAACCCATGAATAGGTAAACTGAAATAAGAAGTTTTATAAATAATACGAAAGAAGTATCTAAATAATCATTACAATTTGTAGATATTCTAATGATCATGAGATGTTCAAAGAAATTCTCTCATTGCTGTCGGACAAATTTACTAACATGGAAGAAGACGGATATATATCGTTCGTGACAGATGCCATTAGTGTTATTTATCATGTAAGTAAATAGTTTATTTTATTACAAATGTTCATTAAAGTTTTGAAAATTTATAAACATTATTTTTAACTTTTAGTTAGCGAATCAACCTGATCATTTAATGCAGCAATTTCTGATAGATATATGTAGTCGTGAACAATTTAATAGTGATAATTCAACGCCACAAGTTGTTCCATTTTTTATACTATCCAAATTATTATATATAGTCGGACATATTGCAATCAAAGTAATGGTACATTTGGATACATCGGTTTATAAAGAATTAAAGCGAAGAGATACTATACGAAAGTTAAGGAAAGAAAAGGATTCAGATAAAAAAAATCAACACGGTCGTAAGTCTCGAAAATCGGCAAGGTCTGTATCGAGTACTCCAAACAGTGCAAGGCAACAACTTCGTAATAAAGAGGTATGTCATTTGTGTTCTGCAGATTGTTGCTTAAGAAATCGTCATAATTAGAGAACTACGAATATTATACAATATGCATGTCAATATCCTTCTTTCTTACTCAATTTATTCGTTGACTTTTATATTTAGACAAGTGCAATTATGGAAGACAATGGTGAGGAAGCTGTTGAAGGGGCAATAGATGATGCAGATGCAGAACTTATAAACGATATTCTGGAAAATCATATTGTAACTGGAGATGGATTGTTAGCACAATTCGTGTCCGTAAATTATTTTAGTGTCAATATATATGCACATTGTTATACGAAAATGTTTATATTAATTTTATTTCACAGTCCATTGGTTCAAGATGTGTGTCAAAATCATGATAAATATAATAATGAGGATGTGCAAGCTGCTGGCACACTTGCTCTTTGTAAAATGATGACCGTGAGCTCCAACTTTTGCGAAGAATCATTACAACTTTTAATTACGATATTAGAACGTTCACTGTATCCTGCTATTCGCGCAAACGTGCTTATTGGAATAAGTGACCTTGCAACGAGATTTCCTAATCAAGTAGAACCATGGATGAAACATATATATGGCAGGTAATTTAAAACATGAATCAAACGATTTCAAATATATCGTTATCATAAATTAACATGCAACTACAATTTAGGTTACGAGATGAAAATATAAAAGTACGAAGTACCTGTGTTCGCGTTTTATCAAGTCTTATAATGAGAGATATGGTGCGTGTAAGAGGTCAGATATCAGAATTAGCTCTCTGTATAATTGACACAGATGTCCAAATTCGTCAAGACGCGAAACAATTTTTCAAAGCACTTTCCCAGAAAGCTAACGCCTTGTATAATATCATACCTGATATACTGTCCCGGTTAACTGATTCAGACTTGGATCTAAAAGAATCTGACTTTCAAGAAGTTATAAAGTATGTATCGTTACTAAAGTGGTAAGATAAAGGTATATATAACAGTTTAATATATCTTTTAATTACAGATACATATTAGGTTTGTTACAAAAAGAGAAACAAATCGATGCCATAATTGATAAAATTTGTGCTAGATTTAAATTAGCTACTACAGAAAGGCAATGGCGTGATTTCGCATATTGTCTTTCACTTTTGCAATTTGGCCCGAAGAGTAAGTAGGAAATGGTTAATGGTTAGATGAATGTTGTATAATATATTAATTTATCGTAATTATTGTTAGGTATGCGACATCTTGCTGACAGTTTACCCCTACTGAAAGAAAAGATTCACAACAAACAAGTTTTAAAAGCTTTGCAAAATATAATAGAACAGACGAAAAAGAAACCAAATATGAAAACAGCTTGTATAGAACTGGAAGAAAAAATAAATGAACTGCTTAAGGGCACAGAGAATACACAGAATGCACCATTTGATGACGATTCCTCTATGATGCCACCACCATCAGCGCCGAAATCAAGAAAACGCACCAAACGTACACAACACAAGAATTGCAGCGATGAAGAGGATGATGTAGATAGTGATCCTGATTCAGTACCCGTGACAGAAGGTGCGTTTTTCTTATGTAATATTTGTATATTTGTATTATTATATCATATTTATTATTATTTAATACAAAATCATTTCAGCAAGGAGCGTTAAGAAAGCGAAGTCCCGTGGAAACAAAAATAAATCAAGCTCTGATTCGGATTCGGATACTGATTTCGCACCAATGAAGACTCCTTCCAGACAAAGTATGTATTATTGTTATTGTTATTAAATTTGAATACTAGTTTTAATTCATTTATTTATTTTTATTTTTATATTAGCTAGGACAAATTCGTTTGTCTCAAGTACAAAAAAATTATCAACACGCCGGAAGCACAGCTCGACTGCAGCTTCTCCATCGATATCAACAAAAAGAAATAAACCAACTATTGCAACACCTGCAACGCCCGCACGTACCCCACAGAGAACATCGGCACGTTTATCTCAATCGAGAGTTAAACATTAAAATTTATAGACACATTAGTCAAACTAATGTGTTATACTTTTTTTATAAAATAGGATAGACAAGAAAATAAAGCGAGAATAAGATGTGCCCATTTGTATAACTTTATTCTTATATAGATTCCATGAAATATGAAGATACATTTCATAAAACTTGCGTTCTGTAACAGTTAAAACGATAAGAGTTATGTATGTAGAAGTAAAAAGAAATTACATAGGACATTCATTTACAATGTTACAAAGCCGATTAATAATCATAGCTTTAACTAGTGCCATGTAAGATTTGGTATATTATTTTTTTTCAATTTATGTATATAATTTAAGTATGTGTTTTTCATTTGAATCTGTAGAAGGTACTGTCGAGCCATACCGGTAAAAGTCAACGCTTGTCGAACAGACAATAGTGGTAGGTAATATTTTTTCGGGTTTTTCATTTTTCATACTATGAATTTGAAACAAAAAAATCCCAAAAATTCTCTGGCATACATGGCAATGCTAGTAATGTGTCTGAATTTTTATATATCACTATATAAGGACGAAAACTGATAATTCAAATTTATTCTGTAACTATTTTTCCTATTGACATAGAGGATTGATTGTTGGTGTACAATGTTCAGTATGGGTGATAGTTAAAAACATAACGTAACTAAATTTATGACTTCATTATATTTGATAATTAAGATCGATTAGAAAATATTTGAGTTGAATAGAATTAATTTATTTCGAATCCTTATTTAAATACTGTTACAAAAATTATATTACAGTTGTTTATGTAAAATAAAAATTATAGAAATATTTATTTTAATGCAAATTATAAACATTTAATGTAACATTCAATGTCATAATTATAATATTGCACACAATATATACATACGTAACTTTAATGTATTGCTATTATTTTAAATTATGACACTGTAGGTTTTCTCACAAAGAAGTACTCGGAATTATGTTACATAATAGGAACTTAAACAGTTAAATTTTATATTAGTAGACAGAATTAATTACATGAGTTTCATATACTAATTATTCATAATCATACCAGTCAGTTGTTATCATCCAATCTTCAAATTTGTTTTGTACATTTTTGTTACGACTAGTTGGACATTATATGATTATTAAAATTAATTTTATTATAAAGGATGCACCTGAAAATTCCTATTGAATGAACCGAAAATGAATGTTAACTACATCGAAAAGTAAAGAATCGAATAGGAATGTAATACATCATTATGTCAAATTATTTCAAGTAATTTAGATATGTGAACACTTTTTGATCCCATACTTATGCGTGTATACGTTTATTTCATTTATGACTGCATGAATTTTTTACTATATGTAGGATACTGTATTTTATTATGCATTTGTGTACAATAAATACACTGTATGATACTGTATGTCGCGAGAAAGACTAGTGTAAAAATCGTTTATGTTGACACAGGTTTTCACAGACTTATGGCTAATATTTAATGAAATTTATAAAATTTAATATCTGTTATACCAAATCACGACTAACGCTACGTTTAAATGTCATAGAACGTACTTCTGTTCCAGACTTTCCCGATTTAGAAAGACTGGAGGAGTTTGGGTTTGGAGTTGGACTTTGTGAAAGGGATGCTCTTTCATCATTAGTCGATTTTTCTCGTTCTAATCTTTGTTTACTGAACTTTCCCATTCCTGGACGATAAATCTCCATTGCAGGACGGTCCTTTAAATATTTAAGAAAAATAACGTTTTAATTCCAACAAAAAGTTTTAATCAAAAAGTAACAACAATTAGGTTACTATTAAGTAACGGAAATAACGAAACTAATACATACCTTATTTCTAATTCTACGTTCTAATCGTGGATCTTTTTTGTCCTTTTCTTTCTCTTCAATTTCAGTTTTTTGTAAATTATTTTGATCTCCTCCATCTAAAGACTTGTGTCGTCTCAAGCAATTTCCATCTCCTGTACCTCCATCACCACCACTTTCAAGTGAACTGCGTCTCTTTGTAACTTTCGAATCTTTCTTTTCATCAGAATCATTATCATTTTCTTCTTTATTAATATGTTCACTGGATTTAGATTTTTCAGTACCCTTATTAGTTTCATCAGTCGTTAATTGATTTTCTATAAATATATGCGAATTTATACCTCAGTAATATAAAATATTTCATTAGTACATTTAAATTGTTCTTACCTATTTCCTTCTGGTCTTTCGATTGTTCGAAACTTTGTAGAGTTTCTCCTGGTCCTTTTTTTTCGTTGATCTCCTCTTTTTCTGTATTTGCACAATTTTCAATATCATCTTTATCACTCATAGATTCTTCCCTATCCCTAATCTCGTATGAATCAACCTGCAATTCTTTTCTCTGAGAATCCTCTTCTTCATTTCTTAATTTTGTACTGTTTTCAGTATCAATATTAAACTCTACATTTTGTTTTTTCGTTTCTGCAAGTCTTTTCTTTTCTTGCCTCATTTTTTCATAACTTTTACCACGTTTTTCTTCAACTTTCCTTTCCCTGCAGTCCTTAATATCCTCTTTGTAATCGCACTTTCTCTCGTCTTTTCCATCGCTTTTCCTATCATCTTTTATGCTATCCCTATCATCGCGTCTTCCATAAACTTTTTTGTCATCGTGACGTCTTTGATGTTTTAAGTCTCTTTGATCTTTATTTCTATCTTCAACTCTATCTCTATATCCTTTTGTTATAGGTTTAGCATCTCGATCTCGTGATATTTTTTCACGTAATTTGTCATCCTTCTTAATTCGATTTTTCATATCTTTAGGCGAAAGTTTGTCTCTTTCCTCTTTGTTTTCTTTATTATCCCTACACATTTCTTTGTCAAGATCTGGATTTTTCAATACCTATAATAAAATAAAATTTTTATAGTAAGTAACACATTGTTATTAAATTCGAAAGAAATTTTAATTGGACTTATTATAATAGATTTTATGATAAATTCACAATAAAGGAACACAAAGTTTCACTTCTTTTTTCTAAAAACAATTTCTCTTACAAAATTTAATGTATACAAATTAGTTGATAATCAATTATGTATATCTCAATAAATGCATACAAATTTAGCATACAGTTATTATATGGAAAAGCTATATAGCACGGGCCTAAATTTCATAAATGAGAAATAATTCTTTTCCCTTCATAATCACTTCAATATTCAGTAAATAGTTATCATAAATTTCCATGTTAATCGTTTGCAGTTCCAGTTTCATGAATTTTTACGATATCCCGGTAATCCTTTCTCGCAAAGGGTTCTAAAAGGATAAGATTTCTGATAATCAAACATAACATTGCAACTTCTTGATTTTGATACTTCTGCTGGTATTTGCATTTTCCACGTTTTGTGTAAATTAGTGAATTGTGATTTTGATATTGAAGGAAAATAATTTTTATTGCTGATGTAATGAGATGTATACTTGGTATTATTATAAATATAATTATTTTTCATGTTACTCCAATGATTATAATTATTTTTCTTGTAATTAACATCTTTTTCTTTGTAATTTCTTTCGTAAAAGTAAAAGAAATTCGGACATTTATTGTTATAATGCCAGTGACCGTTAATACGAGACACATTTCTAACACAATTTACATATATCTCTGTATTTTCATTTCTATACGATTGCTGTTGTATAGTCAATGAATTCTTTTTCATTAATGTTGCGTTTATAATTCCGCTACTGGAGACTTCTTCTTTAGATTTATGGGACATATTTAGATTTTCAATAGGATGTTCAAAAAATACGTCTTCCGACTTGATGGTTGAGGAAGTAGAAAGGAAGAAATACTTGGTCTGGTTATCTTCAATGTTACATATGGACTGCAGGGTGAAAAGATTAATATCAGCAAATACAGTAGAGAATAATACTTAACATTTAAACTTAATCTTGTCAGTAATATTAATTTATTATTTTCATAAAAGGTAATAAATGTAATAAAGGAAAAAAGACAGAAAGAAAATAGAGAAAAATAAAAGAATCAAAATACAATAACATATACAAGAGAATATGGATAGAGAAGGAACCGCTGTATTTAAGAGAAGAAATGGGAAACAAGGACAGAAGACTGTTAGTAAGGTACAGGTGTGATAACAAAGTGAAGGCAAAAAAATTTTTGGAGAAAAGAAAGATGCAGAGCACGTGCTAACGGAATGTGAAGGAACTAGAAGTAAGAAAAGCATAGAAATGATATTACATGAAAAAGGCCAAAGAGTAGGAATACTGAAAGAAATGGAGAGGAAAAGATTGAAAAGGTGAAGAGAGCGAGAAAAACAAAACCAAAACAAAGAAGAAAGTAAAAGAAGAGAGAAGGATCAGGAGAAGTAAACTAAGTAAGTCAATTAAATGTAAATAGATTGTAAGCCGGAAGTTCATCCTAACCCGAAAAGGAAGAACTATGTATAATAAATAATATTATTTTCATATTCTATACTGTATTTGTCCTCCTGAAAGTCAGTTTGAAATGTTTGAATTAACAGAATACAAGTCAAGATTATGGCATTACCTTAGATATAATGGGATCATCTTTTGTCCGTCTTCTTTCTAAGTCTCTCCTTCGTCTTTCCTCACGTTTCTCATCCCTAAGACGCTGTTTCTCTTGTTTACGTTGTTTTAAATATTCTAAGAGAGGTGTAGTTGTAATTTTTTTTGGCGTATCTATATTGAGAATATATTAGTATAAATGTATGCATGTAAAATATATTATATATTTATAAGTTTTCATATAATGTAAACTAACTTACTATCTGATGGTTGGTATGAATACTCGGTTTTTGGTTGTGTTACATTGGATTCAGCCTCCTGATTTTTGAGGCTTTCTAAAAAGCTTACATAATAAGGATCTGAGTCTATAGTACCACACTTTAAGTCCTTTTTCTTTCCTACTCTTTTTTTCGGTAATCTTTGAAAGGGTGCAAATTCTACTACTGCTGGATATTCTGTGCCTTTAGAATCCACAAATACATAATTATCAAATTTTTGTCTGAATATAAGAATATCTTGTTGTTCCATAAAATTGATATATGCACGAGAAAAGGCAAATTGTCCCATAGACATGTCAGCTTTTACAAAACAAAGATAGTCATGTTCTGCCAATGGAGAAACTTGCTCTAAAAACTGTTCCTGAGTCATACTTGGTGGTAATCTCCGTATTACTACCTAAAAATATATTTCTCTAGTTATCGATTAAAAATGAATTACAATATACAATAAATTATATTTTACATCTATTATGAAACTTCTTTTAAGTTATCATTTTGTTGCTTTTATTAAAAAAACAAGATAAGCAATTGTTTCATAAGATTCAGTTAAAACAATTTTCTATGTTGACTGTGATATTATTTTTGGTGTTTCACACTGAGTATATTTCATTTAAGATCTAAAACTGTATGTCAAACAGTGTCCCTCGTACAAATAAGATTCTTTTTAGAATATTATACTGTAAATGCTTGAAAGTAAAATTGTCATTCTTGCTTGTCATGAGTAACATGATATACAGTAGAAAAACATTTTCCTTTGTCATTAAACGATTCATAACACTCTCAGTTCTATTTTAATCAAGAATACCTTTGTCATAGGCCGACACTTTTCTTTTTTATTATCTTTAACTTTTCCGACATCTGGAGAACTAGTTTGTGCCTCATTTTGTGCGGCAGTCTCAGATTGCTGTGTTTCCTCGGTCATTGTCATCTACATTTAATCAATTTCTTGATAATTAAGGCTTATTCGATATCAATTCGAGTCACTCTGATTAAAAATATTAATTGGGGCATACAATTTTCTTCGTGTCATCAAAATAAACGTTTCCGTTTACAAAGTTTTCGCGGCCATCTTGGTTCACTTACGATGCTATTGGTCTGAGAGATGTATATATGCTTTCATTTATTGGGGAATTTTGTAGAATAGTAAAAATCTAGGGAATTAAAGTATAAAATATAAAACAGGGATGTCGAATTGCCTTCCTTCACACTAATAACTCGAAAGCGGTGTAGGGACAAGCTTACCAAAAGGAACTAGGTACGCAGTAAAATGTGTATTGCATGCTTTACGTGTGACGGTTCGACGGCGTTAGGTAAGTGCTAGTCGAAAGTCGGCGTGCTCGTCGCAACCCCCTTTCTGCTGTCGTCCAAGGGTAGGGGTACGTTAGGAGTACCGTCAAGTACTGGGAAGTTGGCACTCTTGTCTAATTGGTCAGACTCGGTTTTAATTATATGATTCGCTGAGAGGCTTACGCGTAATAATCAAATCATATAAAAAAGTGCATGAAGCGATGTTCTAGACGTCACGAGGGTGGGTAAATACCCCACAGACTCCTCCTTGAATGTCAACGACACATTTATTAATTTTTGTCTACAATAGTCAACAACAACAGCCAGAAATGTCACATTAAAGATATAAACGCTGAATTTATTCAACTACAATTCAATACATCAAGAGTATAGTGTCTGTATTAGACATTATAAAACCTATTCCTGATGATATATATTCTAAACTTATTATAATTTCTGATAGCGATTACAGGAATAATTCTGAGGAGATAACTAAATACATTAAAGATGGGGTTATTCTTTCAGTAAAACAAGGTAAAATTATTAATTCAAGTGTGATAACAATAGGCTTAAAGGAATCAGAAGAGATTAAATATATAAAAGATGTTTATTTTTCAATAAATGTACCTTACTGTAGATGAGCAGTTGAGCTCGTTTGCGAATCTTCTAAATTTCCGTTGAAATTATTTAAAAAAATTTAATTAACAAAATTAATATTTACAAAATAGTATATGTTTCATATTTCATTGAAATCTTTTAATATGTGACTTTGATACGTGAATAATACAATTGATAACATATAATATTTTGTTAGGATTTGTACTTTCTGTAAAATTAGTTAAAATAAATACATATGACTAGAATAGAAAATGTTTATAAATATTATATTTACACAAATTAGATGTCATCTTTTAATTAATGTTTATAATCTCCTGTAGTTGTCACGTTGTTGTGTTTGAGATGCCGATGTTAGAGTTGAATAAATAAAAGGTAAAATTGATGCTAATGCTAAACAAAGGCCTATCACTGGTCTGTACCATACCCAAGCAAAGCCTATTACTAATAGACTAATAGACATAGAAACAGACATTGTTAAAGACTCAATTGCAATAATTCCGCACAAGAATGTAGAATTCAAAATTACTGTTCGTAATATGTTTGCTAAACATGTTGCTGCTAAAAACAAAACTAACCAGCCGAGACCTCTGAAATAATAATTAGTTTAGTAATAACAAATATCATAAAAAGAAATGATAATTAATAAATTACCTAATACTCCAAGTACGCCAATAATTGTGTACATGTTCTAAATGAAACATTTGATCTACTGTCATTTTGTGTTTTCTCTGAAGTAAAATTTCTTCACCGTGTGATGTAACGTATGGTACAATAGTTCCCTTTTGTAACATACCAACTATGGAAAAAATTTCTCCTGCTTTTCCTGCATAGGAGAATTGTATACGTATATCTCCCACCTATAAATAGAATTATTAACTTTAAAACTTGTTATTCATTTAACAACATAAAACTTATACCTGAGGATTCCATAAATCGGAACTATGATAATATAAACCAGAATGCATTTTAATATCTTTACGTTCTGGTCTTTCATCACTGGTAACTTCTATAAAGTCATTGAACTTTTTTTTTAATTCAGTTCCAAGAATAAATGCACCAATTCTAACTTCATCTGCAATTTGTATTTGACTTTTAATAGGTATTTCTTTTGGATTTGTATGACCAGGTCTAATATAAAATTGATCAGAATCAATCAGTTTATCTTTCCATTCTGTTGTATAATAATAATGCTTTTGTTCTTCTGTTACTTCGCCAAAACTGATGTATAAGAATTACCCTTATTAATGCAGAAAATATAATAGATAACATAATAAATTATCTTTTTATTTAAACCTCTAAATATTACCTTCGTTCTTCTTCTATTTCAACCCACTGGTACATTTGGACTCTTCGCTTTAATTTTACACTTGATACAATTACTCCATAGTCAGGTTCAGTTAATGGTTCTGATATTTTTAAAGGACCCGATAAATGTATTAAACGACCTTCGTATTCAGGTAATAATTTTATTGTATTTGGAAGTACTGCTACATTACGCAAAGCTTCATCTAAAGAATGTGCTACTTTCACTGCTCTTCCCTATAATAAATATACATTTATATAAATTTATAATATAAATATTTTCATATAATAAAAGAAAAAGGCATATACAAACCTCATTCCAAAATAAAAGACACATGCCAGTTGCAAACATAATGAGCCCAATGATAGCAGTAAGCCACGATTCTCTAAATTGCTCGTAGACTGTCATTGGAATATTCACAGGTGCAGGCTGTCTTTCGTTGACTCTATTTTGATGAAGTGGCTCGGCATTTACCCTTTGAGGTTGTCCATTTTGCTAAAGTAAAACGTAAATTTTTATTTTAGAACACTGTGCGATTGTTTACTAATGAAAGTATTGTTATCTATTAAATAAAATGTAAAATACATAATTTGTATATAATTAAATGTGATATAATATAGCCTACATTACATAAAACTCATTAAGATGCATTCAGAAATAAGTACATATCTATTCGAATGCTGAAGCAATTTCTGTGCTTACATTTGCGCGATACATTTCAATAGATCACATTATACAGTAATGACAACATTCAACTTGTCCACTAAAATCTTTTATTTAAAATAATATTTTCCATGTAATTTGAAATCAGTTCAGACGAAACTGTATTGTAATCAAATCTTATTTTTGAATGACAACATTTAAAATTGGACCGTGAATCATAGACGACTTTTGAGAATAGTTCATGCTATGAATGTATCCAGTCAATTTTATGTATTTATGTATTCTATATACAGAATTGTATGAAAGTACATATTAACTCAATCTGACTTTTAACATATATATGTAAATGTAAAGAAAACAATGTTACAAATTTTGTTTTTATATTGTTTTATTATAGGAAGAAAAAATCCGTAAAAAATGATCGCTGTATGTGCAACGTTGCATACATTATTACAACATGTGACATGGACACATCTAACCAAAATAATTTCCTAGAATATTTGTACTAAAATACATTACAAATTCATAATTAATAATATAATTTAATAATTACAATTCAAATTATAAAAGATCTTCAAAAGGATATGAGGCAAGTTAACAATTGATTAAAATGATAAAATAAAGAACTTAAATCAAGGAAATTTTAATATTATGAAGTTGGTACTCATATAGACGTTCGTCACAAGAAATACATGTGATCTGGTGCATTTTTATCCCAAAGTTGTGCAACCACACATCATGTTGACGTCGATGTGTGCAATTGATATTTTCAAGTTCTGTAGCTATATTCGTGGAATACATCTTTCATATTTACATAAGTATTTGTGTATTAAAAATTGACTTTTGAAAAATAAAAAAGTGCTCGTGTAGGAGATATTTAAAACTATAATAACGTAAAAATAAAGGTGATGAGAAATATTAAGAACATAATTATATCAAATATTTTTTCGCGTAGTTGAAAGAAGCACACGATAAACAGATTTTGCCTATGTAGAGTACAATTACTAAATGTGCTGTGTATAACTTAAAAATAGCTAATTATGTTAAAAAAATTACACAAAATTTTGACATGATACAAACTTCAAAACATGCAATTACATCTTCATTATTTTTGTAGTTTTAATAATGCAGTGCAGATCTGGGGAACATTTCCCTCGTTGTTGCATTGGTCTCATTACTTTAGTAATACCAATATCATTAACACGTTAATCGCTATTTCACATACATAAATATGTTAAGATGAGTACTTAGGTGCTACATTATTAGCAGCGCAGCGTAAAATCAAGTGAGTGTGGTGGGGATGGTTCATTAGGAGGGGAACGGAGACCGTGTGATCCGCGGCCACTAGTTCACTAAGTGGCACTTAGGTATGATTTAAAGAATGTTCCAATGATCTAAGGATGAAGACTAACAGAAGAAGAATAACGTAGGGTATTAACATGAAGTGGATTATAATCTCATGTATTTTATGCGTATTCGGTTGTTTCAAAGAGTTTAGACCTTCTGAATCTTTTGTCACTGATTATTTAACCGGCCCATGGAAAAATTTTACAGATGTTCAAGTGAGTATGCTCGGTATTGTTTGTAGTATTTATTAAACTAGGAAAAGTTTTAAGTACTTACTCGTTTCTAACGTAATGTTTTAAAAACAACCATGACCCAGTAAAGTAAATGTCAATTTATCTTATTCAAAGATATAGTATATTTTTGTATCATAAACATAGTGAAATCTCTTTAACTAATAACGTTACAAGTTTTAGTTTTTTTTATAATACATAGGTTTAATTAGCTTATTATGTATTATATATAATTAAAACACCCTTTCGCTTTGACATATCATGTACAATGTTCATGTACCATGTTTATATCTAATAAAGTATTTACGAAAATGTAACAAATTTTCCAGGTTAATCAAGAAATTTTTCCTATCTCTACGTATTCTTACTTTGCAACTTTGATTATTGTATTTTTAATAACAGACTTCGTACGATATAAGCCTGTTATAATTTTATGCGGTTTATCTGGTGTCACTACTTTTCTACTAATCACACTTGGGAAGGATCTCTTGTCTATGCAAATTGTGGAATTTTTTTACGGCTTATTCCTTTCAACTGAAATAGCGTATTACACTTATATTTATGCCAAAGTTGACAAAAAGCATTATCAAGAAGTAACAAGCCACACAAAAGCAGCTTCTTTAATCGGTCGTTGTATGTCTGGTATTATCGCACAATTAACAGTTTCTTTAAATCTATTAAATTATCATCAATTAAATTATCTTACTACATCAGGTATTTACTTTTATACATCTAACATTTTTAAGTAGTAACAATAGCTAGCTGTTACATTATATTAAGTATCAAATAAATTCTATTTTCCAGCCATCGCAGTTGCTACATTATGGGCTTTCTTTTTACCTTCTGTTGGGAAGTCCATTTATTTTCATAGAAATAATGAAAATTCTGTTTCTGAAATAAGTAATGAAACAGTATCACATCAAAATTTAACTGTAGCACCATATATATCCGAGCAGCATATTGAACATGTTTCTTTCAATACAAAGGTTTCGATATTACATAAAATAAGACAAGCTTATATTTTTTTATGGAGAGATTTTTTAGAAGCTTATTCAAATAAACATGTAGTAAAGTGGTCACTGTGGTGGGCTTTCTCAACTTGTGGATATTTGCAAGTTGTTAGTTACATACAGTTACTTTGGCAAACTGCAGTTTCTCATGATGATAAGATCTATAATGGAGCTGTTGATTCCCTTTATACAATCATAGGTGAGCAAACAATTATTATATTTATTGTATTGAAACATAATTCAATTTTTCATTGAAGATTTTTCAAATTATTAAAGCTCCATTCCTAGAATTACATCAGTAGTAGATAAGATATAAATAATCAAAATGATGTTTAATCAATAATAGTGATTAGTTGGATTTTACTTCATCTTTAATTTCTCAATTTATAAATTATGAAGATTTGTGTTTAGTATAGTTGAAACTTTCATTAGAGAAAATATTATATTATATTATAAGAGTATAAATATGTCTTTCTACTTTTGTAAATAGGTACAATAACAGTATTTTGTATTGGAAAAATGCCATTTAATTGGTCCTTAATAGGGGATATAGTAGTATCAATTATGTCATTTATGGAAGGTATTTTATTATTAGCCGCCTCATATAGCTACAGTATTTGGCTGTTATATGGCTATTATATAGTATTTGGAATTATTTATCATACAATGCACACTGTTGCAAGGTACTTGTCAAATAATCTTTTACAAAATTTCTTTTCCTGTATTATATAGTAATTTTTTAATCTACTAATTTACAGTTTTGAAGTTGCAAAGTGTATATCAGAGAACAGTTATGGTTTAATATTTGGTGTGAATACTTTTTTTGCACTGTTATTACAAACTGTATTAACAGCTATTGTAGTGAATGGAAGCTTAGGATTAAGTCTGAGATCTCAGGTAAGATTGGAATCTAAAATTCAGTTGAAACCGCACATGTAGTATACACAAAATATTTTTCAATTATACGAACTTATCTGATTAAGAAAATTATATAGAAATTTTTATAATTTTACATGTAATGCACGAATATTTTTTATTTATCTTACATATACTTACATTCTTTGTTGGTTAGTATTTTGTAAATTTCGAAATTATCTTTTCTGGATTTAGATTTATTTACTAATCGATTTAGATTGATTTACATTATTAACAAAAATATAATAGAAATAAAAGTAAAAATGCATTTTTAAATAAGGGAATATAAAATAATCTTTATGGTTTTTTATGTCAATTCTTTAAATTATTAAAATTATTTAAAAATTTTACTTTACCTTTTTTCAAATTAGTTGTTTGCTGCAAGCTCTACTAACTAGTTAAATTTATCTGTATAATTTGAAAATAATCTTTTTTTTCTAGTACTTCACCTATGGTGGTTATTTCATTGTGATAGCAATGTTGTACACAATAATAGGTATTTTTAACATTGCTCAATATTTTAAGAAGGGTAAAGAATTCAACATGTGGACAAAGAATAAGGATCTTACAAATGTACAACCTCAGAATGAAGAGACATCATAAAGTCACAAAGTCCTAGTTGAAACTGTAATTGTTGTACCCAGCTAAAGTGTAGTTCCAAAAACTTTTAATGAACTCTACATAATTTTTTATTGTTTATTTTTATTTTCAAATGAAACTATTTTTATATTGTTATTAGAGTTATTGTTAATAAAATGCATATCTGGACTGATAGAAATAGTACTATGCAGTATTATATTGTTGTGATTGCTTCTTGTCACAAATGAGAAAAGAAAATGATTACATTGAGCATATGGATTATGCCATTTTGTATAGAAATATAAAAAACCTTGACATTGTCCTTTATTAAACATAGTTCTTATATAATAATGTTACTTATTCTATCTTCAATTTGTTACTTTTAATCTACACTTTTTTAAACGACAGGTTTATCTTTCTTTGATAGGATGCAATAAAGATCTTATTTTATCTAAAACCGCTTCCCTACATTTCTGAAAATGAATTAAGATTTTTACGAGGAAGATTCTATAATTCTGACCATTTTTTAGAAATAGTCTACAACGTCGCTTACTGTTGAAACCGTTTGGAACAAACATTTTCCCAGCTCATAGCGTGAATTCGCGTTCTTGTTAAATCGTTTGAACAACTTCCACCACATTGCACAATCCTGTACGGCCTGCCTAAACTCCTCGTTAGCATTACCCGTTGTATCGTTTCGTATTACACTAGAGACGAATTCCATTGACTCGTCCTCGATTATTTTCGAGAACATACAAGGATAACTGTCGCAATCGTTAACGCTCGCTAGCAATCTCTCAAGGAGCAAAGTGTCTTTCAAGCAAATCTGGATTATCTGCACCAGCGATTATTGCGATAATAATTTATAGAAATAAAAAAAATATTTTCATTAACGGAAAGAAAATATTTCTCAAATAATTCGGTCTAGCTGTGATATTTGTATATTTCAATTTATTTAAGTAAAATAGAAATACATAATTATTGTCCTTGAAGCTATCAATTGTAAGTTGTGTCTATTTCAACGTTTTGCTAACATTACAGTCGATTTTATATATGTAATATCATAGTTGACACGGTCAATATCAGCATATTATTTTTCGTAGTGTCAACAGATCGTTGAAATAATTTTTTCAAGGTTTGCATCTAATATCCAAGGTGAGAATCATACGATGCCTATTGAAAGCCTCAAAATCTTTAATAAAAAAAATATATTTTTCTATCTTTTTAATGAATAATACTTCCAGCAACTAAAGTTTTCACGTGTTTGTTGTAGATAAATATATATTATGAGTACATTGCAATGTAATTGCCTTATAAATATTCTACGAAAAAAATAATAAAAAGTAATACCATGCTTTAAAGATTTAATGGTACCGAGTATTATATTTACCATATTTGGCGGTACAAGTATAGGATAAGCTTCGACTAGACTCTTGTCTGATTTATCAATGTCAATGTTTGCGTTATTGTACTCAACAAGTCCACTTACAATTTCAAAAATACCACTTACTGATAACATTATCAGGAAACCTGCGTTAATATTAGATTTTCAATTTTCATAAAACTATTCAAATGTAAACTATATTCGTACCTCGCGCGGAGACGATCATTATAGAACTAGTTCAAATACTTTATAAAATTTTATTCATGAAATTGCTTGATTTATTGATATTCCTCTGGCACGACTAATTGTAATATGAAAGCAACGAAGCTTGTCAAGAAAACACACGCGACACGATGAAACCGATACAGTGGTAATATTTACAACCGTGAGAATATTCAAAGACACGAATACAACTGACTTTACGTTCTAGGATTTTATTTGCACATTATCATTGAGAACTGCACAATATTTTTATCATATACACATATTTATCAAGTCTGGAATTTTGTTGTTATTCGTTCTTTTATTGTCATCAGAATGAAATTGGAATAGAACGAAACAAAAATTTGTGAGACAGTTCACGTTGTACTTGAAATTGAAATGAGTTCCAGAACAGCACAAGTTCACTTTTTAACGTTATCCATGTCAGTCATTGATTTAACCGTTTTCAGCTTACTCAGACTTATTTGATAATATTAAAAATTTACACGTAATAAATATGTACGTGTAGCTAATGTTTGCAGCAAGAATCAATAAAATAGATGATGAATGAATGAACAAAGATGAAAAAAAATTGATTTTCTCGAAATGTTAATGGGTTGACTTGTGCTGTTTTGAAATTTATGGCTTCAATTTACGATTCTCTCATATCAGTTTGTGAACAGCATCGAGAACAACGGATTCGCAAGCTTTAGCAGATTCTCGTGATAAGCATAATCCGACTTCTTGGAGTCGAGATAACTCCGCGCGTTCTTTCGTTAAAGGATATTCTTCTAAATTGTGCTTAGGTTTCGTCGTCACCGTTAAATGTAATCGATTGAGTTCTTTTTTCTCTTCAGGATTCAAACGCTCTGTAAAATTAATATTCATAGCGTAGAATTAGTGCAAAAATTAGATACGTTCTACCATTGAAATCAATTAGAATTTTGTTTGATGTACAAACAAGTTTAAGTTCTATCAAATAATTATAAAAATATATAAAATTAAGAATTCATTTTAAAATGAAATATATAAAAATTAAGAATCAATTTTAATGTAAAATATATAAAAATCACGAATCAGTTTTAAGATAAGATTTATACAAATTAAGAATTAATAATTACAGTGATTTTACAATTGCAAAGTATTAACCAGCAAAATAATTGTATTAAGATCAACATGAAATATTTTAACTATAAAACCTCAGAAAAACAATAATTTAATTTTTAATGATGAATTAAAAAAGAAAAGAGTTTTTCGATTAATATTTGAAATTTGTGTTTCTATTTTTGTTTTTTTCAATAATAATACTTATTAGTTACTTTTATTTTCGAGATCTTTAATTTTGCTTATCAACGATCGTCGTATCTCTTTCTCCTCTTTGGCAATTAATCTCTTTTTTTTCAATTCTTTAAATTGATTCTTCTTTTTCTTTTTCTTTGATTTTTTCCAGTTACTCTTCGAACCTCGTGAACGTTGATTCTTTTTCAAATGTCTTTTCTTTCTGTTGTTTGCCTTAGAAAGTAAACATGGTTTCAGTGAATATTGAATTGCCCTTATTTGTACAATATTTATTCGAATTATTCTTTGGCGTTTATCAATCAGCTCACATGTACAATTAATCGCATTAGGATTAGCCTTTGCTTTTGAACGTTTTTATATTTTTGCCATAACTTCGCACAAATTTCGGCACCTCGAAGCAGCTTCGACCTTAAACTTTGATCCGAGATTTCGTGAAACGAGGTGACAATTTTTCCCATGTTAAAATCGTCTCGTCCTCCTCCCTGGCTCATTATTGTGAAAAAAATAAAATTAGTGAAAGTATTTTTAAATTTTTTAATTTGAGTAAGTAATTAAGTAAGTAATTAATTATTTAATGAAAATTAATTTGAGTAAGTAATTTTCGAAATGTAATTTAGTATTTATTATTTTATTAAACATAGAACTTTTTTTCATGATGATTGTTTCTCTTATTAATTTATTTTGCGCTGTTCTAATTAATTTTAACGTTTCAATTGGAACAAAAGTTAAACATTCAGTATCTTGATTTTTCATAATTATTTTATGGACATTTAACTCAAGAAATTTATTATTACGTGTATTATTTTGTCAGAATGAATTTTATTTTGATTTTTAAACCAGTTTAATGTAAGATAATCAGATTGCAAAGGAATCCAAACTCCTTCAACAGTTCTGTTGAAATCGGTTATTATTGTTCACATTATTATGGAGATATATGTGTCGTTAAAATATCATCATAGTTCATGCGTCTGAATACCTACTTCCTTCTTTTTGTTCCAATTGCCTGTGTCAACCCTTTTTAATTTTATTTTTCGTATTCCGTTGCCAAGATAAATTGTTTTAATTCCAAAAATTATAGTTGATGTAGTGTAAGTGCCAAAAATTACCCTTTCCTTCATTATATAATAACGAATCTTCTTCCTGAATTGTGTAAGTACCACATGCAAGTATTTGCAGCTACAGTATCGACCATTTTATAATTATTTTTATTATTAATTTCCACTTTTTATTATTTTGTGGTGGAATACAATTATTTTTATTGTTCATTATCAATTTTGATTACTTTATGATAGAATATAATTATTTTTAATATCCACTGCCAATGTTTATTACTTTATGGTGGAATACAATTACTTTTACTATTCATTGCCAATTTTTATTACTTTGTGGTAAAATACAATTACTTTTATTATTCATTACCAATTCGATAAATGTGCAATCCCAGTCAGTGCTACCATATTGGCATTGCATACTGGCTTTTTCTATCTGCTCAGATATTTCCGTGTACTTCGTGCAGTACTCGAGTACCCAGGTTTGTGGAATTTCAACGATTGGCAATACTTTCCACACTTTCGTCGTGATGTCGTCCAACATCTTCAACGACGTACTGTTATTGAATCTTGGGAATTCTGATATCTCTGTCTCATTAATAGCTCGTCTTTCGACCGAATTCTCGTTACCCTGAAATCACAAAAAAATTACAAGTTCTCAACAGTTCTACAAAGATTTTGCAAGGACAAATGGCGTTCACCTGGCGGTTTATTGAACGACAGATTGTCGTGGGAGCAACGGACACAATTATGTCCGCGCAAACGAAAATACATCCGATTTCTATGAAGTATTTCAGCATCTATGATTCTTGGGAGAAGATTATATTACACAGAAAAGTATTACCAAATCCCGGATG